ACCAAACGTTTAACCGATTTTAATAATCTTATGTCACCATAGAGAAAGTAAAGTGGTTTTAGCAGTAATTTGGGGTTTACTAAAATATTGGCCACTCGGAGCTCTTGCAGGGGTGAACAAAATATTTTAATACTAAATTTACAACATTTGGGAATAAGCCACAGATTTGGGAATTTTTTTTCAAAACCACCATCATCAAAAAAAAAATAATAAGGCGTAGAGGCCCTCATACCACCGACAGCAAGAGCTATTGAAAAGTAACTAAAATATAAAAAATTATAAATTATTATTATGTTAGATTAGAAAACCTAAAGAAGTATTGGGGAAAAATTTATTGTTAAATAAAAAAGCTATGTAGGGCTGGCTAATGAACTTGAAAAAAGGAACCAAACAAGATAGAGATGGAAGTGGACATATCACTTGATCCGGCTAATGATCACAAAGCAGACTAAGCCGTCTTGACTTTACATGGAGGATAAAATCCCTACATTACTGGCTTCTCCACTTTATCTTCTTCTATCCAATCATCTTAGCCATTGTCTCTAGTTATTTTCAAACCCAAGCTTCAATAACAGTTGTTCAGACCACATATGGTGATGTTATAAAAGGGGTGGCAATTAAGGATACTAAAACTACTGGCAGAAAGGGGGAAAAAAAAAAATCACATAAAAACAAGAATTAAATCATTATATTACTAAGAGATAATAATTTCTTAGCACGTATAAACCTGCACTGTGATTTGGATAGAAAAATTATATTAAAAAAATCAATAAAGGTGTTGTTTGTAGGCAGGACTCCTCATAATTGTGCAGAAATGAGAGATGAAAAAAATTTTTTGCGAATTACACTAAATTACTCAAAATATTTCAGTACTGATGTTTTATCAATATAACAAAGAAAAAATATCAATTCTAAAATATTTTGAGTAAAGAATTGTATTTTTAAATTAAAATCTGATACGAAGGTGAGTATTTCACATCTGGAAAGGGCATATCAGTTGTGATAGGCTTAAAAGCAAGTTATCTACAAAAAACACACTGAAGATAATTAACTGGATCAATCCTCACCTTTGGCTTGCTTAGTAGCGCTCTCGATAGACTCAATAAGGGTACGAACTGAAAGTTGTGGGCCATTGCGATAATCCTGCCACTTGGCGGAACCTAACTGACGCCGTGTAACAGCCAAGTCTCGCTCCACCGAGGTAAGAACAGCTGCATCGGTACCGGGAAGACTACTATTACTGGATATGCTTCGCATTGAGTTGGATCTTTGCTGAGAAGGGGGCGATATGTGTCCATCTTCCTTAGCCTAAGAATATGCAGAATGTTTAGTTGTTAAAACAATTATTTTAGTTAAAACAAAATTAATAAAAACATATAATTGCATAACATGTGTACAGATACTACTTCCAAATCTCTTTACAATATTCTCCAATTGTAGGATATTAACTGTGAAAATAATGCTTTCATTGACACAACCACTCTTAAAATGTAATCTCAAAATCCACATTTCAAGAACTAACTCAAAACCAGAAATTCAACACATAATAGCACTTCCCTGTGAATTTTGTAAAATCTGTCTTCTTAATTTCATACTAAGACAACTCTACTGTATAACCCATAATGTATTACATTGGTTTTTAACTAAGACAAAACTACTGTATAACCCATAATGTATTACATTGGTTTTTAACTAAGACAACTCTACTGTATAACCCATAATGTATTACATTGGTTTTTAACTAAGACAAAACTACTGTATAACCCATAATGTATTACATTGGTTTTTAACTAAGACAACTCTACCGTATAACCCATAATGTATTACATTTGTTTTTAACTAAGACAACTCTACCGTATAACCCATAATGTATTACATTGGTTTTTAACTAAGACAAAACTACTGTATAACCCATAATGTATTACATTGGTTTTTAACTAAGACAACTCTCCCGTATAACCCATAATGTATTACATTGGTTTTTAACTAAGACAACTCTACCGTATAACCCATTTAAAAACCAATGTAATACATTCTAAGACAACTCTGTATAACCCATAATGTATTACATTTGTTTTTAACTAAGACAACTCTACCGTATAACCCATAATGTATTACATTGGTTTTTAACTAAGATAAAACTACTGTATAACCCATAATGTATTACATTGGTTTTTAAGTAAGACAAAACTACTGTATAACCCATAATGTATTACATTTGCTTTTAACTAAGACAACTCTACTGTATAACACATAATGTATTACATTTGTTTTAACTAAAATTTTTGTACCTACACACAATTTTCACACTTACAATTTCCAAAAAATGTTAGAATCGAATGAGCTCATACATAAATAAGGGGAAGGAAGTCTTTCAACAGAATCATTTGATCTAATATTATTTTCTATTAATATACCAACCACAGTTCAACAATCATATCTGTGTTGCATTAGTAATTAATGCAGCCAATTACTTTAAGCTTCTTTCCTTAGTTCACAAAAATGGTTGAAAAAAAGAAACGTACACAAAGTAAGTACACATGAAAACTAGTTGGTAATTCATGCTTGTTTAATTAATAAAAAACTTAACCTAAATTACATATAACGATGCAAGTGCGGAGCATGATATGAAGCTTTCCTTCATAATTAGTGCACTTACTCCAAAATGGAAAATCATAAAACTTAAAAAGTTCCACTACTTAATGTATCTCCCAAAATAAAGGTTAAAATACATTGGTTTTTCTAGTTTGGTTACAAAGACCGAGATTTTTTATACCTGTATCACATTAATGTGCATACTATACATACACTGTGTGCACGTTAACTTGAAGATAAATTAGACTATACATTCACTGTGTGCACATTAACTTGAAGATAAATTAGACTATACATTCACTGTGTGCACGTTAACTTGAAGATAAATTAAATGAGACTACAT